AACATCATCTGCAAAAAGCAGTAATAGAATATCATTTAACCATTTTTGACAAATATTCCTCTTAATCCACAGTTATTCATTTCATCCACAAGCTCTTTGATAAAAAGTATAAACAGAGCTGGGCTAAGCATGCAACCTTGCTTTACCCCAGATTATGTGTTAAAGATTTCAGATCTCTTATTTCCAACTTTAACACAAGCTGTCATACATATCTTTCAGCAACTTGAGCATTTTACCATGGACACCTTTGGTGAGGAGTACATATAAAAGCTTATTTCTATTTACAAAATCAAAGGCTTTTCTAAAGTCAATAAAAGCTGCATAAAATCGATGTTTGGGTTTTCTTAGATATTTTTGGCATAGCGATTGAAGGGCAAATATGTTATCGACTGTTGAATAGTCAGCTCTAAATCCTGCTTGACACTCATGTAAAATCTCATGCAATTCCATCCAGATTCGAATTCTGGAGTCAAGGATAGATGTGAAACTTTTACCCATCACATTCAACAATGATATGCCACGATAATTATTCGGGTCATGTTTATTACTTTTCTTATACAATGGTAAAATCATACCGATGTTCCAGTTGTCTGGAAATACACCAGTGTCTAATACAGCGTTAAACAGTAATTCTAAGTATGGAATAATGAAATTTGCATTTTTTTAAAACTCAGGTGGTATTCCGTCAGTGCCCGGGGATTTTCCGGTCTTAACGGATTTGATAGCCTGTTCTATTTCATTTCTAGTTATTGGGTCTGATAAGAAGTCTTCGTTGTCACAGTCTGAACAGTCATGACTTGATATATATTCACGAGCGGTTTCATCAAAACCTTCGTCATTTACATTGGTTGCAGGATTAAGTAATTCCTTGAAATATGTAACTATTTACAAATGGGAATACAACTGTTGCCTCCCGAACCAGTTGCAAGGGATTTTACCTTAGACCAAAACTTCTTACAATCACCATCTGCGGCTGCTGCATGTATTTCATCAGCAATCATGTTATTTAATCTTCGAGATTTATCCCGGCATACACTTTTGAAATTCCTCTTTGCATCAATATAACAATTGAGAGTTTCTCTGGACCGACACCTCCGAAATGAGTTTAAGTGAAAGAATTTTTTTCTCTTAGCACGCTCACAGTCTTGGTCAAACCACTTAGGTTGTACAGGCTTTTGTTTGTCGAAGTAGTAGCAACGGTAATAAATAGTAAAGACATGTGCAATAAGAATAAACTTAACATAGAATAGCAATGGTAAAGAAATATCGAGCTAGAGGAAAGTAAAGTTACATACCTGAATGAATTTACGAGACAGCTACCCCCCCTGATTTGTGATTTGCAGATAATCGCGTTTACAGATAAAACTTACGATAGCATCGTTATTTTGAACTTGAGATTATATCATTTAGTTGGACCAAAGCATCGACGGCGAGTCGGGATTATTCCACGAAGGTATATGTGGATTTGACCATATAAACATACAATACACATAAAACTACTGCACCTTGGTTCTGTTAGCTTTAGAGATACTGGTCCCGGATTATGTCCGATGCTCGTTAACAGTGTTACCCAATTTTCAATAACAGTTAATGTCATAAAATATTGTTAAAACTTTGTCCAGGGGTTTTTTTCCGAGTTAATATAAGGTTGCTATGAGACATTCAAACTTCACAAATGATTTCAAAAATATTATGGTAATTGAAATTGACACTGTCAGCATTTGACTCTTGTAATTTGGCGCTAGATGTTTAGTCGTCAGTGCGCAGCGACCTTGATCTTGCCGTATTTGTATTCATACGCTTCCAGGCTATATTTAGATCGCCTTCGCCATTGGAACTGTCGGCGAAACACTGTAATTTGTAATTAAAAACTTCTGAAAAGTAGGGCATAATAAAGAAATCAACACACTCGCGTAGATGTCATATTGTATTTACAACAATGTTGCCAAAGAAATGTGTTTTCCCTCGCTCTCGAAATATTTTTCAGTCACTCGTGTTGTAAATACAATATGACATCTACACTTGTGTATTAATCTCTCTGTATATCAATGAAATAAATCAGCAGTGTATGAAATAAGGCCCGTCCAACCGCCCGAGACGGGATAAATTTCTGATGGACAGTCTAAATTTACAGCTAGCCAGCCCGATGGTCTGGTGTAAGTCTTGAGTAAATTCACCATATCTTGGTGTCGGGCCTGGTTAAGTCCTTTGTGGGCTGGTAACATTTAGAAGTTTTCAGCCAACATTTTGAAGTTACCAGTCCTGATGTTTGGCTGGTATTCATGGCTTATGTCATACAGTGAAATAAGTAATGCTCGAATAAGATAACACCTACAGTTTGATCACAATCAGTATTTCTCTGTTTCAGCCATTCAAGGAAAGGGTGAGGGGTGTCCCTTGGGTACATATGGTGAAACCTGTGATAAAAACTGCAGTACTAACTGTGCCCCCTCGGCTGACGGGGCCATCTACTGTGACAAACAGACTGGAAGATGTTCAGAAGGATGCAGCAGAGGCTGGCATGGGGACCAGTGTAATCTGGGGTGTAGCAAGAACTGCCTCAACGATGTCTGTCAAGTACAAGCTGGAACTTGCATAGAATGTAAAGCGAACTATTCGGGGGATTATTGTGAGACACACGAAGGTACGTGGACTGAAGAATATGTATTTTCGGGTGTTGCTTGCATAACATGTACACAATTATTTGCCCATTAAGCGATACCTGACATACACACTGGTTTGTGACAAGCTTATTTTGTAACCTGCAGTCAGTTGACTAAATAAGCAGTCAGGAGCTGAATCCCAGTGGGTATGTGAGGACTTTAGTGCAGGTAGTTGTTCAGACACACATCAATATCACGATAAATTACCGAAACGTAAAGATAACACAAGTAAGCGATCGACGCTTGTCCACTTTAGTCAGCCATGATGGTACAACAACCCGGATGACGGGAGCAGTCATTGTATTACAAAATACTCATAAGGGAGTAATCATTATATTGCAACATCCCTCCTCTTTTTACGGTTACTGTCTCTTGTATATGTATAGCCATATAGCACTTTGATTTTAGTGTAATTTGAAGTTACATAATGGGTATTAAAAAGAATAACGACACAGACAATAAGCTTCCAATGGTTCTAGCATGATACCAACAATGGAACAGTTCTTAGATATAAAGTCAGCGGGTGATGGGTCCATGGACTTGGCTGCATCTGGTCAAAAGTTGACCCAGTGATAGGTCTCCATCCATGTAACCTCTCCAGGCCTCGAAGATATCTTCCTGTGTAGCTGTGGCAGAGTTGCGCAGGAAGGTTCGAAGTCGGCCTTCGTGATTCAACAGACTGGCTTATCTGTGCAATTCAGGGATTAGTCCTTGATCTTGCCGTTTTTTGTATTCAAGGGGCTGGTCGCCAACTTTACTGTTGATTCGTCTGTCCCAGCATATTTCCTGAGTGCTGAAATCCCTGTGCCGCAAAGACGATGTGTCCATAGTTGACAACCATCACAGCAAATGGGGAGCTGTTTTTTCCTGACGGTCTTATTGCAAACCACACAGCGTTGTGTCATTGTGAATGTACAGTAACCATCTATCCCAATCAATAAATACTGTATATCATTGACACAGAGAACACTATGTCATAGTCTTGAGTTCATAGACTTATATTTTATTATATTCATTTATGTACTATTGCTAATGTTTGTCAAAACACCAGCTCTGTCAGGATTTACTCGACAGAGCAACTGCTACTTCAATGTTGTTTTAATGACTGTATGTGTGACTTCATGGCATGGATGTGTTTTTAACAATTTGAATTCTGATTCTGAAATCTAATGTTTTATTTGTCACACTTAAATTCTAGTGAATATTGTTAGACGATCTGTACATTATTCAGTTCGTTTGATTCATATCTTCCACATGTATTTTTGGCCCCATGGCCATTTAAACAGAATAAAATAATGATGAAAATGTCAAAGTTTATTAATTTAATAAGTAATTGAATAATATGCGTTTTGATCTATCATTTATGACTAAGGGCACACATTGGAAAAGGACTGATTATTTTGGGACTATTTTGGCAAATATGGGGCCGTTTGCACTAGGGGCCGTTTAGTCATGGGGCCATTTCAGCCAAAACATTTGGGGCCGTTTCGACTTGGGGCATTCTGCCGTGGGGCCGTTTCAGCTATAACCCCACTAAACAGCAAATTTTGCTATAGAACTAAGTGTAGATATAGTAAGATTAAAGACTGCCATATGACTAGTTAAGCATGATAAAAACTAACTTTAAACGTTAACGTATAAACTGTAAGTGGAACAGAAATTATGAGTCCATGCCTCTTTGGCAAAAATTCACTTACTTAAAATTATCATCAAGGTAAAATAACTTGAAAAGTCTGAAACTAACACATAAGACCTGAACACTATCCAACCTAGGTAGTAAAGTCACTGAACTTCTGTTGTGGCACATTCACGGTTCTAACGCTCCTGGTCGTCATTGTACGAGGTGTTGACAGGGCCTGCTCAGTCTTCGATGATGTTGGTGTCGACGACGACGGAGTTTCAGTTGACACCGGTGTTGTTACTGGTTGAAACACTGGAGCAATCGCTGCAGAATCAAAGTGAACTGGTAATTTCTCTGATGAGGTTTCGAGTACGCAGTTGCTTGTTTGTCTGTTGTTCTCTCAGCCGTTTTCTTAACGTGTTGACGATTACGGCGCACAACCCTTTGTCTGTTTCAACTTCATAGCTTCTCTCATCCAGTCTTTTGGTTACCACGCCTTTCTGCCAAACTCTACTGTTATCAGTGAATGGCTTCATCCTAACCACATCCACTACTTCCAGAGGTTTTACGTCCTTCGCATGCACTTTTGGAGCCACTGATAAAGTTACTTTACACCCACCTGTAAGCTGTTACATGAAACCAACAGAAATATAAGTATATAGCACTTATAGAGCACATTTGTTTGCTTTGGAAACCAAGGGCAGAGAATGCAAAGGGGAGCTTACAAATGGATGACCCAATATTTTGCAGAATCTGAACTATATCGCAATAATCGTATCGCGAGATACTGAACCGGTATATACCGGTTTACCGGTAATATTACACAGCCCTAATTGTCGGTAAGAATTTTGCCATGTTCACACATGAGAATTCATCATTCTGGTTCTCATCTGACTCTGAGGGCAGATGTGCTCTTGAAAGGGTGTCTGCTAAGAGGACCTCTGTACTCTTCCTGTATTTCACTATCACATCATGATTGCCAATAGCATGGCTTGTAGACGTCTTGGTGCACTATGCTAAGCAAGGGCTTGCTTGTGATTGACTCTAGAGGACGATGATCATTCTCTACCAGAACTTTACGTCCAAATGTGTATGTATGGAACTTGCACAACCCAAAGACCACAGAGAGCAGTTCTTTTTCTATCTGTGCGTATCTTGTTTCCGCAGGCATTAATACTCGACTGGCATACGCCATAGATTTTTTGTACTGCAGCAACACCGCTCCAAGACCAAATGAGCTTGCATCGCTCTGTAACGTCAACTCTTGTTCCTCGTTATAGTAGGCCAGAACTGGTGCCTGAGAGATCAATTTCTTCACTTCCACGAAAGCAGTTTCATTTTCAGTAGACCAGGTCCACTCAGCATCTTTGTGTGTAAGATCACGAATTGGTTTCATGATACCGGACATCTTGGGAAGAAGCCTTGCAAGATAGTTAATGAAACCTGAGAATCTCTGTACATCCTCCACATTCTGAGGCGAGGCATATCTATCACAGCCTTGACCTTCTCAGGGTCAACTTTAAGTCCATTGTCCGTTATCACATGACCAAGAAAAGTCACTTCTTTCCTACACAGTCTCAGTTTTTCATTCTTCATTCTGATGCACGTTCTCGACATCTTTCCACAGTGCATGCATGTTTCGATGATGATCAATATCAGCCTCAATTTTGTCTTTGCCTAGTCCTTAGAAGTGAATTTCATCAACGATACACCTCACCTCACTGTCAGGCCATCCAATGCCTGATGTAATCTCTTCTGAAATGTCTCAAGAGATACACTAAGACCAAAAGGCAATCTGGTGCAACGAAAGCGACCAAAAGGCATCCAAAATGTGCAAAGCAGGCTTGATTCAGTGTCAGACTCCAAGTGCCAGAAACCAGCAGCCAAATCACAAGTGCTAAATACCTTAGCATCCGTCAAATCTGGCAATAGTTCTTCAATTGTGGTCTTTCGGGTCAATACATACCCTTAGGCCTCTGGACTGGTTCTGGGCAATCACTAAGGAGCTAACCCGCTCTGTGGGCTCATCCACAGGTACAATCACACCAAGCTTCACTAAGCGATCAAGTTCCTCTTTCAATTCATCCCTCTTAGATATAGGAACTCTGTTCTGCTGCGATACACATCGATGAACTTCAGGATCAACATACAGGTGAACTTTACCTGGCAACTGTACAACCTCATCAGCAAATACATCTGAAAACAAATTGATGATCTCTTCTGCAGAAGTCACATCTTTCAGTTGGGGTGACGGTATTACTACAGAATTTATTCTCATTCTCATTGACTGTCAAAAGTTCCTTTTGTTGCACTGCATTTGATCCCAACAAAGGTACTAGTCTGTTGGTATCATGAGACACAACCACAAATTCTACCTTGTACTTCCTTTTGTTCTTAGGGTTCTTTAACTGAATCCTAGATACACCATCAGGATGTTAGACTGCACCATACCACATCCGAAGTACCTTTCGGATAGGCAACACTTTCACATCAGGGCTCAAATATCTACTAGGCAGTATGTTCACTGACGCTAACACATACAACGCGAACATCTTTTCCCACAGTCATTTCGTTATAAATGTCTGAGCCTCCAACTTGATTACATGTTTCACTGATCAGTTCTGTTTCTTCATCACTGTCATCTGACACAGCATTCACATAATTTCATTTCTGTTGGATATGGCGACACTTCATCTTGAAATGATGTTTCCCATAACATCCTTCGCACACTTTTCCCCAAGCAGCACACTTTGTACGGTTCATCACATGTCTGTAGCCACAGAATTTATAGTTTGGAAAGTTTAGTTTCTGAGGATGTTCATCAAATTTCTTTGTGATTTGCTTTTCCCATGTTTCACTTTATGCACTTCCTCAGTGTCCATCACTTTAATTCTCACACCTGCAGCTTCAGTACGTCTACACATCTGAATGCATGATTTAAAAGTTAGCTTTGGATCTGAGAGCAGGTTTCTCCTCAGATTTGAATGTGTAATTCCTGTGACCATCCTATCCCGTAATAAAGAGTTTTTCAAACAATTACAAAAATTGCAGCTTTGTTCTAATGTTCTGATTGCAGGTTCTCATCAAAAGTTTCAGATTCTGTTTGCATTCTGCTGTTTAAAACGATCATATGTCTCATTTGTTTCACCCATGGTATATGCATCAAACTTCTTAATTCTTGTCTCTATGTCTTTCTTTTCCCCAGGAAGAAATTCCATAGCAGAATACACTTTCAATGCATCAGTCCCCATAGAATGTAAGAAAGTAGCTACTTTGTAATTCACTGGAAATTTGTCTCGCTGTGCTACAATAACATAGTTTTCCCACGAAGCTCTCCTTAACCATGACCATGCTTACGAGCGTGGATTTGTGCGCACTATAAATAGGCACTATTATTATTATTAACCTCCAGTTATCAGCAGTTTTGCCTGACAGTTGTAATGGCGGTGGGGTACGTTTACGTAAACGTATTATATTTCGCGCAGGTTTTATTTTCGCGCTTTTTTGCGCAAAACATTTTAGCGCGAAAATTTATACACCGCGAATAAACCTGTCATTCATTCAGTCTAGCCACGCTCGCCCCTGAGTTGTTGCCATAACACATCAAGTTTGAAGACAGAAATCTAGGGAATCTTAAAATGACGACTGATAGTAGCATAAAGAATCATACTTAACTGTCGCTGTAATGGATTTCCCAAAACATAATTACTAGTAAATAATGAGCAAAATCCCCATCGCCGAATTAGCGAAAACAGCAATGTGTGTTGTGTCCGCCATGGAAATTGGTCACATGGTCTATTTCGACCAATCGTAGTGACAGATGGTTTGATACAAAATAGATTACCATGAAACGACTCGGAAAGAAATAAAACAGCAGTATTTTATTTATTCATTAAGATTTTATTTACCAGTACATCATGAAGTGAATACTAGTAGTCACTTAGCACCCAATCATCTCACAGCAACCCGGCTTGTTTGAAATTACAAACAGCTTCATATACAGTAGAAGTTAATGATTGTCAATGAACACTCAATCAACCCGGCTTGTTTAAATCCGCTCTGGATGAGGTCAAAGGTGTCAAAGGCCTTGATGACCCATTGTCCGTGAAGGGGCTTAATGACGCTGGTCCTGGTGTCAAACTGAGATTGCAGACACTGCATCATCGTTCCCTCCATCCTCTTGCTCGTCCAGTTGTCGCATAACCTCACTGGAATACCACTCGTGGAAACACTGTTTGATTTCGTCCTTAAAGTTCTTGTTGAGAGCCAGGTCGAGTGGTTGCAGCTTGTCAGTACATGCGGCTGGGACATACAGGAAACAAATGTTCTTCTCTTGTAGGAGTTCACGCAACCTGTCCATACGATGAGCTCTATAGACATCAAAGATGCATAATGCCTTGTGGTCGGGATCTAATCCCAGTTCGTTACGTGTTGCTACAACGTAGGGGTCGTTGACTTTCTCTACAAATCTGAGCATGGATACCTCGATGCTCCAATGTGAGTCAGTATGTGTGATGTCCCAGTCAGCAGGAAAGTTGATGGATGGATGACATCGGTCTGATTTTCCAGCGTAGATCATCTGATGGGGCAGCAAATCACCGTACTTTGTAGTTGAAAGTAGACCTGTGATCTGTCGCTTGTCATCCATGCCTGAGATGGTCACTTGTTTCGTCCCACGTTCTTCCATGGTCCAGTCACCACCAGGAAGGAGAGAGAGGCCAGTCTGGTCCCAGTTGATCACTAGTTTATCGGGGATGACATTCTGGTCGATGACACTCTGTACACGATTCAGGAACTCAGTCTTGATGACGGCGAAATCAGACGGCAGCTTCTTCACACCTTTAGTTCCCTTGCGTTTAACAAAATCCATTCGTCTTAGAAGTGATCTAGCCCAGGAATCAGTCAATTCAACATGTCCACCAAATTCTTTCAACACAGATTTGTGACGTTTTCTCATGATTCCATCAGTTGCTGCAAGCAATGTTCTTGTGTTGACGGCACCACCAGACAATCTTGTTTTTTTCACCCAGTTCTTTATCTCGTCTTCGTATTGACCCAGCTTTGGCCTCTGACCTCGGACAGCCTTAACCAATCGGCGTGGAGATTCTGCCGATTTACTTTGCCTGTTTCATGAAACTTGCTTTCATACTACGGGCAGTAGATTCGTTCACTTTCTTCTTCAGTTCACAAGAGTACTTACGGGCTGCCTTCATAACACCATGTTCAATCGCATACACAGCAATTTTCGCCCGTACTTCCGCATCATAATTTTGGTATCCCCGACGTCTCCTTTTACGGAATGATGGGTCACGTGACGTGTCACTTGTCGCCATTTCTTCCTCAAGTAGATCTACTGCAGCATTTGCAGCGATTACAACTTCGATCTCAGTGTCATCTTTACAGTCATTTGGAGCTGGAAGTCCAGGTGTCTTGGGGGTAGGTGCTTTCTTTAACCATATTCGCAATGCCATCGTCAGTTCGTCAGAATTCGGAACATAAGACTAATGTGTTTTTCATCTCTTTATATACTAGTACTTGCATCACGATATCTCACTTCCTAAGCACTTAATACTTCCGTGAGTAAACGGATTGCTGTGTACTAGTATATCGCACAGATAGGGATTTCCTGTGAGTAAGCAATAAACGCCGCCTGACAGGTTAAGCCACTCTGTTTGTTTTCACTGTGGGAAGGGTAATTTCGGTTCTACACCCGCTACCTGCCGACCCTCAACGCCCAAATGGTTGGTTTTGCTATTCCGCCATTAGTGAATATCAATCCGAACAAAGTGCTAGTGATGACAAAATAATGTTGTTAACCAAACAAGTCACAAATACAGTAAACCATGCTGTCACTGAAACCACGTGCTCTTGTCTCACGCAGTACGGAACCATTTGGTCTCCCTCAGTCCACCTGAAATGCTATCCACAAAGCAAGCAGTACAAGTGTCAGCACTCAAAAGATTTGTTTACACCGCTTCCACCATGTTTTACACACCAATATCACGAAAAGTTACCCAAACTTAATGCCTTATAATAGACTGCCAAAACATTGTTATATTAGGCTCAAGTCCCTACTTGGGCAACTTGTGTCAAAAATATTTTATTTAAGTAAGGTTTTGGCTATGCATGGATCAGTCAGGATGTTGGCAATTTTGATTATTTCATATCCTTGTTTAAGCAGAGAGTTTCGGATAGTCTTAAACAATGTTGGTTCACTTCAATTCAAAATTTTTATCAATGTTTTTATTACTCCCAATTTAAGACATTTTTAAATGTGGATAGGTATTTAAATTCTGATATTCCTTTACATCTCAGATCTGCACTCTCTAAATTTAGATGTGGTAATTTTAATACAGCTGTTTAAACTGGAAGATACAAAAAAAAGTTAATTATAATGAGAGATTATATTTATTTTGTAAATTAGATGACAAAACTGTTATTGAAGATGAATTTCATGTACTCCTTAAGTGTGAACGTTTTTTCTGATTTAAGGTTAAGATATATTCAGAAATATTTGACCGATTTTGATCCAAATGCCAATTTTATTAACATTATGAAAACACATAATGATTGTATCATAAGAGATGGCAGTATATTTCTGTATCATGTACTTCAGCGCGTTATAAATGTTCCTCTTTTACACAGCAAGTGCACTAAACTATCTATATCAAATGCAAATGACTGTATGATGGGCCTGTGGCCTTTTACTGAATAAACCTGTCTGTCTGTCTGTCTGTCTGATTGTACAATGATCTTGCTAATGGCCACTACGACATCGTCTTCTGTTAGTTACCCAGCCACTTTGGCATTCTGGGAACACAATGTCCGATCTTGTTGCCAAGGCAGCACTCAACAAATATGTGACACCACTTCTTATTCCATACTCTGATTATAAAGCTGTCATTAGATCTTATACCTGAGATCTGATGCAGAAGAAAAGGGACACCCAAGTAGGTATAAATATATTACATGAAATAAAATCCTATGTTGGTTACACTTACTTGGGTTGTCAGTCCAGAGTTCTGGAGGTCATCATGCGATGATGTCGCATTGGCCATACACGTTATACTCACAAATACTTGTTAAAAGGTGGAGATCCTCCGTTTTGTATTCCATTGTGATGAGAGAGTGAGGGTCAAGCATATCCTGCTTGACTGTGTTGAATTCTCAATTATAAGGGATAAATATTTCAAAGTGAAAACAGTTAAGGATATTTTTACCCCTGTCAATTCTCATTTAATTATTGGGTTTTTTTTGTTTGTTTTGGTTTGGTTTTTTTAAAGAAATTGATTTGATTGATGACTTCTGAATAGTATGTTCTGAAGATAGCTGTATTTCAATGATTGGTAGTTTAGATTAGTAGCTTAGATTGTTAGTGGCTGTACCCTCAAAGGGGGTTGAAGTATTAAAATATTATTGTCCTCCTGAGAGTGTACATAAGTCCCAATACATTCATAGTAAATGTAAACCTACTACTATTTTTAATCGTAATAAATATTTTAATGTATGGTTAGATTTATCTCAATTGCTAACGGTTGAAGGGATGGTGTAAATCCAGCTAGGGCCCATGCAGGAAGCAAGAGTACTGTAAGTCCCCATGGTCCCTTGCATGGTGATCTAAGAGTTGTTGGCAATATATAACCTGTTTTTATATTGTATTGTGATCGATAGTTAAAAGTGTTAAGTACTAGTTTTAAATTGATATCTGTGATATACTAGTTGTTTTACTGTCCTTTGCTGACAGGACTTTATAATTTACCTTTATTTATTGCAAAATTATTTCTTGTTTGTAGTCACGATATGGCTGAAATATTGCCGATATGACTGACACATGTACCATTTGTCAGACACACCAGCACTCAGAAGTGTTTTCATAACGACTAGTCTTGCTTTATTAGGGCGGTGTGGTAGCCTAGTGGTTAAAGCTTCCGCTCGTCACAGCGAAGACAAGGTTTTGATTCCCCACATGGGTACAGTGTGTGAAACCCATTTCTGGTGACGTTGCAGTGATATTGCTGGAATATTGCTGAAAGTGGCGTAAAACCATACTCACCCACTTGCTTTATTAGAATTAATATTTTGGTTTTCAGGAAGTGGTCCTAAGACAAGTGAAAAACACACGGCACAACAGACTGCCTCAGCACCTGTTTCTATGATACTTGTTCCCGTGTTCGTCGTCGTCGTCGTCATATTCATCATCATCATCATCATCATCATCATTCTAGTTGTGTACATACGCCGAAGAAGGTATGAATACATTTCACTCAAACCTGTCTTATACAAGAAGTTGTCTTTCAATGATTAGATAATTAGTCCTGTGTAAATACAGCTTTATGTGTGTGTACATTGTGTGTTTTGTAACTTGGTGATGGGCAGCACCAAAGATTATGTTCACCTACCCTGAATAGCAGGATTCCACGGGGATCGGGTTATTTCTTACAATGTGTCGGCAAATGCACAATACATGTATCAAAGATTACCCTTAATTGTGCCCTTCCCATGATGAGCAGTAAATTGTGATCGAGTCATAAATACGAGAAATGATATCAAGCTTTGGTTTTAAGATGAATTTTGATTATCTTAGGTTGTTAGATCCAGGTTAGAACCCATGCTAAATGGATCGTGGGTCAGGGTCAGTGAGTGACTTAGTTGATGCCTGTCCGTAACCCAGTTGTGTAGATCGATGCTCATGATGTCAATCACTGGATTATATTCTAGTTGCGATTACTAATAGAACATTGATTAATGACGATATAAATGCAAACAAACATGACATTTGGTTTCATGTTAATTACTGATTGTTATTCTGTTGCAGGCGTGTGTGTATACAGAAAAGGAAGGCGAATGGGTAAGATATAAATAAACAGATTTATGACATCACATTTGTGACCCCTTCACTTATAAGTAAAGTTACTCTTTGACCAGTTTTTCAGATTCAAATGTCACAAACATGTATCACAAAGTACATTGAGAATGTATGATGTTCCTGTGTAGTACCTATACTCAAAGCTGATCATCTTCGTACTGTTGCGTGCTTTAACAACTCACCTGTCCTGAAGGGCTATATCAGATTATATCATCGCAAATGTACACATTATCTTGAAAACAATGTTCCCGTGTGATGCAAAACACATCGTTACAGTATTATTCCGGCGGCCCGAAAACATATGATGTCCGAAAACACATAATCTGACGATTAGTGTTTGATGCTATGTTCATTATAGATTATTCATGATCAAAGTCGGGTATTTGTGTTCACCCTCAGTGGCTCAGGGTAATTTTTACTAGTTGTGGATTTCGCAGGATGGGGTTGTATATTAAGTCCGATCATTAGTTCCGTCATGTCATGTGATTGTATCCATGATAAGTCGTTGGAGGACAGAAAGTTCTTTCCTGTAAGAGAAGCGTGAATTTGGTATACACGATTAGAGACATAATGTGTCTGGTGTTTTAGAATGTGTCATATGTCAGTTCCACCTACAATGTAATGAACAACGGTTTGACAACTGTAACTGCCAGTCTACGCGTGCAGGTCGCCCTAGGATTGAATCACAGAGGCAGTACCTTGTGTTCCCTCAGTAACCAATTACTGACGTCTCGGCAGATGAATGATAACCATTAGGCAATACTATACTCACCACTGCCCTCTACTGAATCGTGGAGCATCTCCATGTCTTCATCGGCGTGTTAGACTGCAAGACGTAAACAAATGGAACACATTAACGGGACGCTGAAACAGAGTTGCCACAGTAGTAAAGCATGACTCCATATCATTGCTAAACGTTGTTTAAATATCGTAGTGAAGTAGATTCCTAGTTCCTCAGACATTTGTTTTCTATTTTCAGGCTCGGATGATGCACGCGGTCAGGATCAGAATCTCCTCGCTAATGGCGGTAAGAACACCGGACTGAAATCAATTTCTTACATCAGTATCGATTTTAGACAGAATAGCAGTTTCTACACGCAAAGCTTCCATAATCTAAAACAGTTGAACTGTGTATTCGGACGGAATGGGTATTCCAGATCAGAGACGTACCCTAATTTCATGTTTGTCACCATATTCAGATAGCTGGAACTGTTTTGCTGAATTTCTTGGAAGGTCTGAGGTTGATTTATGTAAACAGCGCATACCAAATGTGTTCCATAGGGGTCAAGTCTGAGAAACGGGAAGGGCAGTTCATGACACCAACACCGGCGTTACATCAGAAGCTGTGTGTCACAACTACACAGTATGGGGTGTAGCGCTGCCATGGTGTAATGTCAGTCCAGGACCATACAGCTGCGTGAATGGCACAAGAACGTGGGTCAAACCGTAGTCCTGATATTGTACAACTGATTACTCAGACAGTGTTCGTGCTAACTGAACACAATACGTGCAGTGAGGGGTTCACTTTAACAAGCATCAGGATATTTATTTAGTCGGGTATATATCTATAATAATGCTAACTGGGGCATTCGTTAACATTTGTTCTCTCATTCACTGAGGTACTTGGTATATAACGGTTTCACAATAAAACTGTACTCGCATGACCATACATGTAACGATAGCGAGGTTGCACTCACTGTGATACATGTGACCACCAGTAGTCCTTTGTGTTTCAATAAAGTCATTTGATTATCTGGTTTCTTTACATAGTATGACATGGGTACCAGTTAGTGAGTAATAACTATCCTATATATGCACATCGTGAGTTTCGGATGCTACCGGCAAGACAAGATTATATTACTCTGAACACTTGGTGCCATTACAGATATTCAGTTATATATTGATCAAGTCTATTTCGCCTTTTACCTTCAATCCTGTGGTGTTCAGGTTTTATATCCCTGGGGAACGTGATGCTAATGTTATAGGCACTGTTTAACTATGTCTACATTTAACACTGTATATAACACTTCGCATGATATATTTGTTATAAACCATACACATGACCTGCAGCATGACCTTTGTATTTCAGGGGTCCATCGCATCCAGATACAGAACACTGACCTCATAGACGCCTGCAAACAAGGGAAGCTACAGCGAGTCAGAGGCATCCTGGATCACAGCAAAGACGATATCAACAAGCCAGGGAAAGGAGGCTTGACACCAGTGATGTGGGCAGCAAGAAGGGGACACAGAGAACTGGTAGACTTACTTGTGATGAAAGATGCTGATGTGAAACGTGTGGATGATGTCGGTAACAACATCCTTCACTGGGCCTGTTATGGGGAGCTTGTGGCAATGGTGAAACATGTTGTGTCAAAGAACATGGTAGACCCCAACAGTCAAGGACAGGATGAGAGAACCCCATTGATGTGGGCAGCTCGGCATGGGAATATACGCATGTTTCATTTACTTGTAAGTCAAGGGGGTCTATCTTCACTTGTAGTAGACACAGATGGAAACAACATTCTTTTTCTCGCCTGTTGCGGTGGGAATGTGAGGATTGTGGACTACATCCTCTTAAATAACGTAGACATCGATGGTAGAGGACAGTCGGGGAGGACTCCGTTGATGGCGGCAGCGTACAGAGGACGCGGAAAGATCTTCGACCTACTTGTGACTAAAGGGGCTGATCCCAATGCAGTTGATGATGCTGGTGACAACGTCCTCCATTCGGCCTGTCTGGGCGGACATGCGAATATTGTGAGCCGTGTCCTCAAGCTGGACAAGGTGGACATAAACAGTCGTGGTCAGTTCAGTAGGACGCCTCTGATGATTGCAGCAAGGAATGGGGATAAAGAAATATTTGACTTGCTCCTGAATGAAGGAGCTGATGCAACACCAGTGGATGATGACAGAAACACCATCCTCCATCTTGCCTCTAAGGGAGGAAATCCTGATATAGTGAAGTTTTTGCTCGACGTGAAGAAAGTGGCAATCAATTCCAGGAACAAGCGTAATGAAACAGCGACCATGCGTGCGGCAAATGGAAGTGATGTGTGCAACCTGCTTGTGAAACGTGGTGGCTTCATACAGTAACCGAAAGGAGAAGAACGGGTTTATTCTCCAACTGAAAATGTCAAAATCTTTCGATACCTTACAGGTAAATCCAAGGATTGCAGTAGGTGACCTCCCCTGCATGCCATGTACAAAATCAATGACACACACCCCACCCCCACCACCCACCCCTTTCACATAATTTTAAGCATTATACTTTAATATACTCTCTCAAAAAAGAAACTCATCACGAAATTTGAATTTTGATCCATACGTACAGGGAGGATTTTACAAACACGTTTCATTTATTTATGATTCCTATGATGCTTTTGTCTGAAAACATCACATCTAAACGCATCCAGCATGGATATAAAAGATCGATCACTAATTTTTGTTTAGTCACTTTATTTGAGAGTGTCGAAAGATGCCACGACTCAGTCTCGTCAATCGAGATATTGCTGTAGGGCTTCTGGAAGCTTCTGGAAGCAGGACAATCATCTTATGCAGTTGCCCGTCGTAGGAACGTACACCAGAGCACGATTTCTTGTCTCTGGGAGAGATATCACCAGTAGAACTACGTCGAAGACAGACCTAGAAGTGGACGACCCCGAGTGACCACTAAGAGTCCAAGATCGGTTCATCCGGGTACATCACCTACGTCATCGTACAGCTACAGACACCAGTACCGCTAGACACATACCCGGATTACGACATTTATCCGCACAGACTGTGTCAGGAACAGGCTTCGAGAGGCGGGTTTGAGAGCACGAAGACCGTACTTTGGCCCAGTGCCACATCAGCTACATCGACAACATCGTGTTCAGTGGTGCATCAACGTTCAGGTCTGGACTATGGCTAATTGGCGTCGAATCTGGTTCAGTGATGAATCGAGATTTCTCTTGGAACGACGAGATAGAAGAATGAGAGTGTACAAACGCCGTCATGAACGTTTTGCCGACGCCTGCGTCCCCCAGGTTGACCGATTCCGGAAGGGAAGCGTGATGATGTGGGGGAACATGTCCTACACTGGCAAAAGTGATTTGATGATGATCCAAGGCAACCTGACTGCGCAACGCTACTGTGCTGACATCCTTCGTCCACACCTGCTTCCTGATCTCAACCGTCAGAGGGAGCTGTTCCAGCAGGATAATGCCAGACTACACACAGCACGTGTCACGAGAGATTTCTTCATGGATCAGTACATCAATGTGCTGCCATGGCCCTCCAGGTCACCAGACTTAAACCCGATCGAGCATCTTTGGGATACTCTGGACAGGCGTGTACGACAGCGTCACCCGCAGCCGCAGACCCTTCAACAACTCCCCCATGCAGTACAGGCAGGGTGGACTGCAATTCAGCTACATCAGATCCAGGGACTGATTCATTCGATGTCGAGACGATGACGCGCAGTACTGTACGCCAATGGTGGCCACACTAGGTACTAACTTCAGCACCAACTAGCGTCTTTGTGTGATCCTCTATCCGATTTTGTCCGAGACCCTACCAAACATCGATATTGGGACATTACCTATGCGAAGTTTCATTGCATTTCGTTGATTATTAAAACCAAGACATGTATCACAATAAAGAAAACAAATTAGTTCAAATTCTTATATGCTTTTCCTTTTGGAGAGAGTACGTTTTCATCTACAAAATTGCTGGACACACCAACGCCCACCCCACTTGTTTATTATCACAATCTTTTTGATATCTTTCAACAGTCAATAACATTTCAACATCTTTAAAATATCACAGTTCAAATATTTCAAGTCTCAATTTCAGCAGTGCGGAGTTCACAGCTGGAATATCCCAAATCTATTTTCAGCCACGGGAGGTGCTTGGATTGTTATATCAACCTCGAGGTTGACATCGCTTAGCGTCACAGCTGTCATGTGACCAAATGGGCCAATAAGAAGGACGGAAATCTACCCGTCATATAATAAAATATAGTAACGTTCAGACACCATGCGTTCAATAAATGTTAAAAAAACAATTTACAAATAGTCAGGCTGGTGGAAGTAACGTAATGCGCGTGCACGTACTGTCTTTTTATCATTTATGTCTGCAATCAAAGTGTATGCAAATGATGGATGTTTAAATAATTGATATGTGTGTTTAATATAATTTAAATGATTCATACTACCCTTGATCAATCAATGTTTAAACAACGAGCGGGGTAATTAAGCGAGGTTACTATACTCGTACATGCGAAACTCATGAGCACACATAGCAAATGGTGTTTCATTTTTAGTTTCTCATATAATGCTACCTTCTCAGTATTGTTAAGTTCTATTTATGTGCAAAGTCAAGATTTGTTTGAAGTGTAACAGGGCTGTGGATAACATCATGTCTGACAGGGATTGACGATCCTCCAGTGACCCTATCACCCGGAGGTGGAACATAATGGTTTAGATTGCACTGCCAAGTTACAATTATCTGCCACTTTAGATAGGTTTGCTTGTAATCGGAATGTAGATGGTGTTGAATAGTCGAGTAACAGTTGAAATTCGTTTACATTTATCTTCATTCATCTACAGTTCCAGTGTATTACCGGCCACGCCCACTTACTGACTACTGTTTCCCGATTGGCTGATAATGGGCGGGGCTGTATTGCATTGTCACTGATCTTGTATCTGTACAAATCTTTTGTAATGTTACTGGTTAAATAAGCAGTCTCTGAAATAATTTTGCGACTTATATATTCAAACGATTTGAATCCTTATGTTATTGTTTATGTCCTACGCGGATTTTCACAAAAAATTTCTTCAACACAATAACATACTGAACTCAAATACTATTCAGAGCTGAAACAGATAGCTCCCTTCCACTCCCTGCTACTGTATTTATTTCGTAACTTAATGTCATCATTTTGTTTTATTATGCAAGCATATTTTTTTAGGTCCGACCAAAAGTGATATTGACCTGAGTTAATATGACTTCAAGCTATGACGTCATTCACGTCAAGCTATGACGTCATTCTATTGTTTACATGTCACAGTATTGCTGACATAACGTTATTGGTTTGTAGTGAAAATAAAATTCCTTTTCTTGACTAAATGGACATGTTTTGGATTTTAGAATAATTTAGATTTTCGGTAATTACATATGGTATGGCCAGAAATTATTGAGAATTTTAGGAATATGTTTAATTGGATTTCTAGTATAAACAACCTTGACCAGGTATCAAGTGCTTGGTTTCATTCAAGAGAGACAACTCCACTCCGTTAATCCTTTTTCATTAGTTTTTGAAGAGTTATCCCCCTTTGTTTACTTGCTAGCAGACGACATTTTCAGTGATCCTCAGTATGGATGATTTAGAGAAGAGGAAGTTGATTTTAGAGTATTATAACAAGGACATCAGATCAGCTAAAGTGATTTCAAGTAGAACAGGCATCCCTTTATCCACTGTTTATCGTGTTTTGAAAAATATTGCAAATGGATATGGCACTGAGCACCAGGGAGGCGCAGGTAGGCCCAGAAAATTAACTGTCGGTGACAGGAGGCGGCTTGGTATTCTTGTTTCTAAAAACAAACGAAGGAGTTTAGAAAACGTAAGGCTGGATATGATTGATAGAGGAACTGTGGCTGTCTATAAGGAGACAATTAGAACTGAGCTGCATGCAATGGGTTGGCAGAAAAGTCGAGGAATTCCATCACCGATCATGAAACCTGAACAAAAGGAGCGACGGTTGAATTGGTGCTTACAGCATAGAAATTTTAACTGGGACAATGTGATTTTCTCAGATGAAAGTCCTGTGTGGTTGTTTCCTAATACACTGAAATTCTGGACCAAACAAACTGAAAAACCTTTGTATGAGCGCCCAAAGTACAGTCCGAAATTTATCGTGTGTGGTTGCATATCTGTATTAGGGGCAACGCCCCTCTGTGTATTTGAAGGGAATATGAACAGTGAGCGGTACACAGATATTCTCGAGGGACATGTACTTCCATCTGCTCACGTGTTCTATGGAAATTTTAGGATTTTCCAGCAGGACAACGACCCAAAACATCGTTCAAAGCAATCACAGGCCTGGTTTCGGACCCAAAATATGACATTATTAGATTGGCCAAGCTATAGCCCTGACCTAAATCCAACAGAAAATGTTTGGGGACTTATGAAGAAAAGTGTCAATAAGAAAAATCTGACAAATATTGCTGAAATGAAAGAAGAGGTGGTCCGATATTGGGACAGCATGGACCACGACTTTCTAACTTCTTTGATCAGTAGTATGCCCCGCTGCATTGAAGCCTACATTGCTGCCCATGGTGACTTGACTAAATACTAACTGTTCACCTGTCTTTGAATCTGGAGTTATGTTTTGCTAATATTCACATTTAATACGTGAGTAATGAGTGAAAAATATATAAAAATTACAATCTTTCAATTCTCAATAATTTCTGGTTGTACTGTAATAAAACAATTATAGGCTGGCGCTACTGGGCTACTTCGTGCCCCTTTATCAGATGAAGGGATGGGCATTCACCTGATGAAGGGCGGCAAGATGTAGCCCAGAAACGTCGTGTTGTAAATCCATACCACACGTTGTCATGGTGACTGGGTGAATGTCTGTAAGTGGTGACATGTCTCAAGTGGCCGTGCTGTCACCTGGTGTAAATGTGGAGACATGTAAATTGTTAGACTCTGCCTAACGTAGTGTGTGTGTTGTTTCCGTGTTGTATCTTGCCTGCATGACGTGGTGTGTGTTGTTGATGTCGTGTTGTATATTGCCTGCATCACGTGGTGTGTGTTGTTGATGTCGTGTTGTATCTTGCCTGCATCACGTGGTGTGTGTTGTTGATGTGTGTTTGTATGTTGCAGGGACAAGGCACGAATATTTGAGAAATAAAACGCTTTATGAACTTAACACATTTTGTCAGGTTTTGTATTTTGAACCTTGTATAATTCAAACTAATTACAGATTTGTTGATTTATATCTCCCTACACCCTGTGACCTGAGACTATTAAACTAGAGTTGACAGCTGATGAATGGTTGGGTCTCAAACTTTCTGGGTGATATTGACCCGTTAAGAGGATGTCACCCATGTGCTTGATGAATCAATGGTTGTAAGGCCATGTCAGCACAATTCGCAGATCGAGTATCTCCTGGTTCTGGGTGATATTTATGAAACAAGGGCAATGTGAACTAAGTTTAACCCAGTTATTCAATCTCAGTAACTCACAGCAACACAATTATATGTCCTATTATGTTCAGGCTCATGGAACATAAAAAAACAGAGGGTACATCTATCCATGCTCCCCTCGTGACCAGTGAACAACTTAATATGTTTCATCCCTGATGTAGTATAAATCAAATGGCTGCAGACACCTTGATGACGTAACAACTGGTTATGTCGCTAAATGCTGCACTAAGCAGTGTACTTGACCAAAGTTAGACAGACATCTGCTGGGTCTGAGCTGTCGTTGAATGATATATATTGTTTCAGTATTTCGGCCTCATAGCCTAAATTACAATTGTATTTGATAGAACACATGTCACGTGGTGAACAATACAGCAATATTTCTATTTCCATTTACATCTCAATAGAAATACATTTTTGAGGAAAATGGCAAGTGCTCGTAAATTATCCTCATTATTTGTATTTAATATATTACACAAGAGTTTCACTGAATAGTGCTTAACATTAGATAGGCTTGGGAGATATTTTAATCTCAGCTCAATCCGTCGTTAAACGCTGCACAAAACAGTGTACTTGACCAAAGTTAGACAGACATCTGCTGGGTCTGAGCTGTGGTTAAATACTGCACTAAGCAGTGTACTTGACCAAAGTTAGACAGACATCTGCTGGGTCTGAGCTGTTGTTAAATACTGCACTAAGCAGTGTACTTGACCAAAGTTAGACAGACATCTGCTGGGTCTGAGCTGTGGTTAAATACTGCACTAAGCAGTGTACTTGACCAAAGTTAGACAGACATCTGCTGGGTCTGAGCTGTCGTTAAATACTGCACTAAGCAGTGTACTTGACCAAAGTAAGACAGACATCTGATGGGTCTGTGCTGTGGTTAAATACTGCACTAAGCAGTGTACTTGACCAATGTTAGACAGACATCTGCTGGGTCTGAGCTGTGGTTAAATACTGCACCAAGCAGTGTACTTGACCAAAGTTAGACAGACATCTGCTGGGTCTGAGATGTGGTTAAATACTGCACTAAGCAGTGTACTTGACCAAAGTTAGATATCTGATGGGTCTGAGCTGTTCCCCATTTTCTTACTCACCTTGGCATGATCTCATCTCATGAGTTTTACTCATCAAACTGTCAACTCAAGAGAACAACCAGTTGAAACAGATTCCATCAGACTAAATAGTGGCAGGTAAACCAGGTGTTCATGAGAAGGGCATGTCCTGTACTGATACAGAACCATCAAAGACTAAATAGTGGCAGGTAAACCAGGTGTTCATGAGAAGGGCATGTCCTGTACTGATACAGAACCATCAAAGACTAAATAGTGGCAGGTAAACCAGGTGTTCATGAGAAGGGCATATCCTGTACTGATACAGAACTACACACTGATGTTAACACTTGATGCACTGGGTCTCAATCACCATGAAGCACTCAACTTAGTAACAACAAAATCAGTTATTCATATTTTGTATTTTAATATATATATTGGCAAAGCATTATTTACAATATATTATAGTGCATTTAAAACAACCCTTGTGATATGAGTCTCTTGTATGAATCGGACACTTTTTGTATCAAAATAATAATTTTCTGTAACAATATTGATCTCAAACTATTAACGCAAACATATAATGAAAAAACCCACCTTGACTTAGAAATAACTAAATTTAGGTATACAAAAACAAAGGTGGGAGGTAAATGCAGTAGTGTTTCTAATTCTCTGTTTCACTCACACGAAGGAGAAATAAACAAGGACAAGGACGTGGCAACAGCAGCAGGGTCTCAGACTACACAATAGACCCAGATGCTGCTGTGCCCCGAGAGGTCCTCTTGAACTTGCTCAGAGTGCATCACATGGTCCCTAGTACAAATTCACTCGAACGCACCTGTAACATACCTGTCTGTAACAGGTATGACTTGACATGTAGATATCTCTTACCTGTAACATACCTGTTACAGACAGGTATGACTTGACATGTAGATATCTGTTACCTGTAACTTACAGACCTGTAGATATCTGTTACCTGTAACATACCTGTTACAGACAGGTATGACTTGACATGTAGATATATGTTACCTGTAACACATACCCTTGGTGTGAACAGTTACAGATACGACGAGTTGACATGTAGATATCTGTTACCTGTAAAACATACCTTTGGTGTGAACAGTTACAGGCAGGTATGAGTTGGCAGCAGTGGCAATCTGTTAATATTTATCACTTTACTGTTAAAAACAAATATGAAGACTCTCGTTTCTTTCACCTACAGTTGCCATGGGTACACTGAAATGTTGGACAAGGAATTCCATTAACTTTACTGGACAGAGTTATCAACTGAAAGTAATCTAAAGAATCGTTCTCAAACAAATCTATTCATTTTAGATCAGTAGTTGATCATGAATAATAAATAACAACAAATCAGTAACAAGCCCTGAATAGATACAAAAATAAGTGCACAATGTAAAGTGATCTTTAAGAACAAACTTATACATGACAACAGACCTCGATGTTTAATCCCAAACGCCATAAGACTAAAGGTGAGGGACTCCGTGAAACATAAATTCCAGTCTCAAGGCTTCCCCTGGAGTGAGACTACAACCCATGGCTGCTTACACTTACCGGTATGTAAAACAAGTAGTAAACCAAGGCTGCCAACCTATATGTGAATACTACCGGGCAAATACTACTGTACTAATAAACCGCTACTCTTTAATTCATCCTGGAAAAGAATAAACAATATACATAACAACAGGAACATCAACACAGCAAATGAAACTCGTTCAGCAAGAGTTTCCGTACCACCCTACTTGAATGAAAACCCAGACTACTGAAGAGGTCAGCAGTATGACAGATTGAAGACGTCTGCTCTCAGATAGGGACAGACTCCAGTCTGCAAGGCTCTAGACAACTGAATCTAGAAGTATCATTTCTTCCAAACCCTAGAAACTTCAAGCACCCAGGTACTACACCTGCTTCCAGGCCGATATTGGGGTCCGGGTCGGCAACAAGTGTCGGAACAGAGATTACAGACTTCACACTTGGTATTACTGTTTAACCAACCCTATGTATTTGTAAAGGTGGCTTTCACTGAAAACAGGACCATTGCATTCAATGTAAAGTAAAGTGTTCAAGATAAAAAGCCTTTGAACTTAAACCTTCATATAATCCCTACACTGAACAAAATAATGATCTTTCCTAATTTACCTGCGTAGGGCACACAGCTTGGAACACTGGGATAATTCCTGACTCGTCTGACTGAGCCAGAGAGCTGAGTTGGATTATCTTGTAAGACATTTGTTTTAAGAAAGAATTATCTCTCAGGTCTATAGCACTATCAGTACTGTATGAGAGGGATCTACAGCATAGCCTATTTCACATCAGAAACCTAGAAATTTCGACTTAGTAGTGTCACTATCAGATTGATGCAACACAGAAACAGATGCAGAAAAACACATTTCATCTCAAAGGACACAATAATATTTACTGTACAAAAGTCTTGAAAAGAAATGATAAAGTTCCTTCAATTAATGTCATCCTATAATCAAAGGGAACAGTATGCTACAATATTTCCTTACTTTACAGGACCCTCATATTTCCTCCTGGGACCCTTGAAAGGTTGGCAAGGTCAAGGTCACTGACAGGCTGAGGGTCCAGGTGAAAGTGTGTGTTAAAGGTCCATGGTGGTGGCCGCAGGTTACAAATCATGAACATGTTTTTCAGGACAAACTTGTTTTGTTGCATGTGATTAACACCCCAAGCTGGTGGCACAACACAATATACTTAAAGCTTTGGCAAAGTAATAGGAAAAACAACAAGATTATATCCCCCACAGCTAGAGAACTGAATACATAGCAAGCCAAAGTGTCTCCTTGTGTGCGGCACTGATAACTAGAGATAGACTGGTTGTGTTGTCGCCTCATGTCGTTTACATGTACATCGGAGGCAGACAAATGTCTCCTTGTGTGCGGCACTGATAACTAGAGATAGACTGGTTCTGTTGTCGCCTCGTGTCGTTTACATGTACATCGGAGGCAGACAACAGGGATGACAGCACGGAGATCATCTGGAGATGAATCATTGTACATATATTACATATCTTACACATGGGCGTCTACAGTTGTATTACAACAAGCATCACTCATCAGATAGCTGTTTTCGTAGATCAAAAGCTCCAACAAGGAGGTCAGTAACTGTACACTATGTCCAATATCAGTACCACATTCAGCTCTTCACTCTCCGGAATTCCTCCCTCAGAGTCATCACGGCGAATGTTTACTGTAATCTTCATCGTCAGTTACCTGTCAGCAGCCCGCTCAACTCTAGATCGTGCTTGATTCCATAATTAACACCTGACTCGGTCACATGATCAGATTTGACCAATCACAAGCGGTTTGTCATTTAACATCCTTCCTATTGCCCTTCATGTAGAATCACATGGGTAAGTCACATACCAACATCACATGACGAGATCACATGACTGTCACGTGACCTGGAGGGTACAGTCATCTATGTATAGTTCTAGGAGTCAATAAAAAAGTGGCTATACAAACAAGACGTAGGTTATACTGTTGTACTCCGTGGCCCGTCAACTAATGGTCTTGCATATTCTACAAAGTCATCTATCAGAACTGGCCAGGCACCTGGTCAGGAACAAAAATACAGAATACATTAAAATGTCATGATGATGATGATGATGATGATGATGATGATACTTACAAGCTGACATCTTCATATGAAGCACAATCATGTACTGTAGTAAATGTCTAATGAGTGTGTTTGTTGTTTACAACCTGATTCAGCAATATTCCAGCTGTGAGATGGCTATCTGTAAACAATCAATGGGGACCAGATCCTGATGTTGCTGTGGCAACCCATCATCAAGTCCCACACGGATCCATCACTGGTAGGAACATACACTGCATGTCGTGTTTATTAAGCTTACATTAATATACAAATAACACTGTGACCAGCTCATTCACCCCAAAAGCATCATAGGGTGAAACGGTATATTGTGGTATTAGTAGAAACAAGAAGACAAAGTTATCAACATCCCCCCGCAATGGCCAAATACTCTTCATGATTATGTCTACTAGTTAAGATTATGTGAAATGTTTGTGTATATGGCAAAGTGGAAGAAGAGTATTGAAAGGGTTTTGCTCCAGAAAGGAGCACTACTACCAAATTCATTGGAGCCAAACTTGTTGGCATGGAAACGCAAATAATATATTATACAGAAATACACTAACTACCAAAAGGCACCAGTACACCACCAGACCTATCCATGTGCCAAGTTTGGTAAAGAAATAGTGAACAGTTTTCTGCTCAGTTCTGCTCAGGAAAAGACGTTTGTGCACAGACGGAGCGCATTTAAAACGTGTTGCAGGGGATAAAAAAATCAGTATGTTCGGTTTTTGCACCGTCATTTTATTAATCTTTTTTTTCACCTTTTCTAAAATTTATAGAAATTGAATCATTTTGTCAAAATCTAAGTGTTTCTGTAAGTTATAGCTCTTGTGAATTTTCTGCATTATGATCATATCTCATACACCGAACCGAAATGAACTGAACCGAAGGTTTCGTACCGCAATACGTACCGTACCGTGGTAACAGCGCACCGTTTCACCCCTAATGCATCATAGTCCTCCATAACACCCACCAAACTGACTTTTCACAAATTCTTTTCCAACTATTATGAATGAAACTCAGATATAAATATAGCAGAAACTTGACCAGATTTACTTGTCTAATGCTTAAAACTATTGTTAATCTAAACTACCTCTTCTATTCTTCAGAATGAGTTCTGTAGTGAACTACGTTTTATCCAGTCACATGTTTTACTTTAAACGACCCCGGATATGAACATGAGACCAAAGTCCGTGTAGAGTCCACATTGTTGACAAGGGTCGCAGAACACACACAGACTCATTCGTAACCACTCGCCCCTTTCCGTAACTTCCAAGGAGACTCGTCCCCGTCTCAATGCTTGTTTTGTGCGAAAATATGACAAACCAATCAGAACGCGCGTAATGGTTGTGGCGCTTTCATAAAAATAGTCCTGACTACTTAATTCGTTTATGGCATAATGTTATTGTTTAAAACATCATGAAAAATATATATCTTCATATTGAATGTACTATGAACGTAGCTAACAGAATTGTGCTGGCTATTTTAATAAGAATCATGCGATTGAAAGTGAACATCTGGTAATAATTACGTCAGAATATGTCTTTAACAAATATGTTTTTCTCCTTCTTTTAGTTGTATCAAGGAGGTGTAGCTCTTTAAAATAAATAAGGAAAGACGAAAACAGTAATACAATGTATGAGTACTTCGGTGATATTAAGTACCATTGGAATCAAACAGGAATAGAGTTGTCGTTCCTGTTTGAAGTAGTTCTGATGTTCCTACGCCAATATGAAATCCTTTCCGAGGGGCACGAGTCGCTATTCGGCTTGTCCCGGAATAACACGAGGTGGTTACGCTGGGTATCTCTGGTATCTGTGGAGAGGTTGCCAATGTCACAAAGCTCAGGTCCGGCTCTCTATTAGTGGAATGTGCTCGGAGAGAGCAATCCCTCTATCTACTGAAACTACCAGAGTCTGTCAATGTAAAGGTTGTTGTCTTAGCACACAAGACACTGAACACGTGTAGAGGCATTGTACAGGACAGAGCTCGATGCCTGCCTGACACGACTGAGGAACAAATTGTCCACGAACTCTCCCAGCAGTCTGTCACAGATGTGAAGAGATTCACTATCAAGAAGGAAGGTGTAGTTCAACCAACAAATACCTACCTCTTTACTTTCGCCCGATCGAAGATTCCTGAATCAATTAGAGCCGGTTATTGCAGCATTGGTGTGGAGGTCCATGTACCTAATCCACTCCAGTGCTACAACTGCCAAAAGTTTGGACATGGATAGAAGTCGTGAATCAGAGTTCATAAGGATCAAACACAAAGAAAATATCTCATTTCATGAAGCGAAGAAGAGGGTTACAAGTTTAACTGTATCCTCTTCAACCATCTCTTACTCTGCTGCTGTCTCCCGTCCCTGTGCCACTACTGCAAGTATCTCGTGCCAGACCGATCTGACATGGGTCAATTCTTCTCAGCCTATCTCAACCACTTCATCTCCAAAACCAAACGTCAAAACATCAGAATCACAAACACCAGAACCAATTCCAAAGCCAGAAACGGAAAAGGTGCGTCAAAAGATGAAAGGAAATAAACTAGAAAGACTAAAGCAGCATGAGCAACTGCCAAACCCCAAACCCAAAACCAGCTCTCCTTCAGAGGTCCCCCTCGAGGTCCACAACTCCTTTGGACCTCTGGATATGGAGGTCACTCCATCTCCAACTGACACAAAAAAGGAGTTTCCCAAACGCTTCCTCACGGTCACGTGACATGTCACCAGTGGAAGCACCATGGATCCACAAGGCATGATTCATTGTCTATGGTGGAGCCTGCAAAAGCAATTTAAAAAATTAGATTCTATGCACCACCAAGGGCTGAGGCTCTGCTTGGGAGCTATCAGAACCTCTCCGGTAGACAGTCTATATGCGGAGGCCAACGAACCTTCCCTTAAACAATGCCGCATTAAACCTTCACTGCAGTATATCACTAAATTACGTTCAACTGAGTCCAATCCAGCATACAATTGTGTTTTCCACCCCTCTCTATGAAAACCTGTTTCCTAATCTGCTAAGCCTGGTTCCACCACTTGGAATCAGAATTCAACCACACATATCTGCAGCTAAAATCGATCTCAATATCATTGTACCTTACCGACTCCTGTCTTCACCAGTGTGGCAAATGGTGAAACCACGGGTCGATCTTACCCTCACCAAACTCAAAAGGTCTGAAACAAATCCTTCCGTATTCCAACAGGAATACAAACAGTTACGCTCTAAGTATAACACCCATAGATCCATTTTCACAGACGGGTCCAAGGACGATGGCCAAGTTGCCAGTGCTACAGTCATTGGATTAAAGACTGTCTCCTCTAGGATTCCCGACAACAGTTCCATTTTTACCACTGAGGCCAAAGCTATCTTCTCAGCTTTGACTACATTAAACAGCAGAATCACTCCAAAAACTTCATTGTTTGTACAGATTCATTATCTTGCTTTCAAGCACTTCAGAATGTTACTTCAAGTCACCCAATCATCCTGGACATTTCAAAACTTTACAACGACCTTTCTACTGGCCAATGTGACATCGTCCTCTGCTGGTTGCCGGGTCACGTCGGCATAGCAGGCTACACAAAAGCCGATGCTGCAGCTAAAGCAGCTCTTGACAAGCCCTTGTCTCCACTGCTGATCCCGTACAGTGATTTCAAACCCACTATCAAAAGTTACACTCGAGACCTCAAGCAATAAAGGTGGGACACTCAAATAGGAAGAAACAAACTTCATAAACTGAAACCAACAATTGGTTATACCTACTTGGGTTGTCAGTCAAGACGTGATGAGGTAATTTTACGACGATGTCGTATTGGCCACAGTCGGTTTACACATGACTATCTGCTGAAAACAGATGGGGATGGACCCCCCATATGTGTCTCTTGCGATGAAGTTTTCACCATCAAGCATATTCTGCTTGACTGTGTGGACTTATCGTCTGCAAGGGACTCACATTATCATGCAACAAATCTGAAAGATCTGTTCTCCCACGTGAGCGCTCAACTGATAGTGAACTGCCTGAGGGAAGTTGATCTATATCATAAATTGTAACTGAGTAAACTGACTAACGAATTGCCTGCTTTTAAATTTAGTGCTATGACATTCTCTGCTTTTAAATGACAATGAAATGACTATATGTTTTGAAATAAAACTAATATTGACTTACAATGTGTATTAATGCAGACTCGTTCTCTTCACTTTATGGCTGGAACAATGCGGATGTGACGTAAAGCCAACTCAACTCAACTTTGTTAACTTGGTAATGGGCAGCTGTTGTATGGGGTGGGGTGGGGGGGTGGTTTGAGAGGATTTTACGCCGCTTTTAGCAATATTCCAGCAACATCACGGCGGGGGACACCAGAAATGGATTTCCAGTAAGAGAAGTGTAAATTTGGTATACAGGATTAGAGATATTATAACGTGTCCGGTGTTCTAGAGTGTGTCAACTGTCAGTTCAACCTAATGAACAACGTTGTGACAATTGTGACTGCCAATCTACACCTTCCTCATTTTACACAAGAATAACGTTTTCAGATTTGTATAAATTCTAAAAACATTGAAGAGCATGTCGTGCTGGGAGCACAGAGGCAGCACCTTGAGTTCCCTAAGTAACCGATATCACGGCAGATAACTAGAAGACTTGAACAAATGGAATAAAGGGAAGCTGAAACAGAGTATCCACATCTGTAAAGGATGATTCCATAGCATTGCCAAATGTTGTGTAAAATATCGTCCTGAAGTAGAAAATCCTAGTTCCTTTGAAAGTTTTTTCCTATTTTCAGGTTAGGATGATTTGAACGGTCAGGATCAAAAGCTGATCGTTGATGGCGGTAAGAACACCGGACTGAAATCATTACTTTAAATCAGTATCGCAAATGTGTTACAATATGTCTAAAACAGTTGAGCTGTGTTTTCAGACCAGATGGGTGTTCAGAGAAGTACTCTGGTTTTCATGTTTGTCATCATATTCAGATGGCAGGAATTTCTTGCTCAATTTCATGGAAAGTCTGGGGTTGAATTACAGGGCATCCCAAATGTGTCCCATCGATGTCAAGTTTGAGAAACGGGCAGGGCAGCTCATGACACTAACACCGGCGTTACATAAAAAGCTGTGTGTCAAACCTTGAGTATGGGGTGCACCGTTGTCTTGTGGAAATGTCAGTCCAGGACCATGCAGTTGCATGAATGGCAGAAGAACTGGGGTGAAAACTTGGTGCTGATTTTGTACAACTGATCATGATGACACAGGCAGTGTTAGTACTCGCTGATCGAACTACGTCCAATGTGGGATTCACTTTAAGTGTCTAGTTATTAATTAATTATTGATAATATTGCGTTCTGGGGCATTCATTAACGTTTGTTCTCTCATTCACTGAGATGGTTATGTTCCAAGGTTGCCTTCTATGTGATACGTGTGACCACCAGTAGTCCTTTGTGTTTCAATAAAGTCTTTTGTTTGTCTGGTTTATTTCCCTGCCGCCATCCTATAACAGGGGTACCATTGACGATTAAATTACGTCCCTTTTTATTCACAATGTGCGTTTTGGATGCTACCGGCAGGGCAAGATTATATTATTATTCGTGATCAGGTGGTGTCATTACTGAAATTTAGTGATCCATTCGTATATTAATCACGGCCATTTCGCCCTTTACGTTCAATCCTGTGGCGTTCGGGGGGCCTTATTCTCGAAACGTTCGTAGCCTTAAGAATGCTTTTCTTTGATCGTAGCCAATGTGTTAAGAATGGGCTTAAAAAGTTCGTAGGGCTACAAACGTTTCGAGAATAGCTAGCAAGGTATTATATATCCCTGGGGAACTTGGTGCTAGTGTTATTGACATTGTTTAACAATTTCTACTTACTTTTTCTTTTCCACTTCTAAAATTGTATGTATCAACTCATTATATACCTGATGAAAGCCTCGTTGCAAATTATTAAGATGTGTCATGTGACCAGTAGTATGACCTTTGTGTTCCAGCGGTCAACAACACACAACGTCCTCAGGACACATGTTTAATTCCACCATACTGAAAACTTCTCATGTACTCATTTGGACTGGTTCGTTTCAAGTGTTGCTGGTTTGTAAGATACATATGATCATCAGTATGACCTTGGTGTTACAGCGGACACTGACCTCCATGACGCCTGCAAGGAAGGGAACATATAGCGAGTCAGAGACATCCTTGAGCACAGCATCGACGATATCAACAAGAAAGGGAACGAAGCCATGACACCAGTAATGTGGGCAGCAAGTAGGGGACACAGAGAACTGGTTGACTTACTTGTGAAGAAAAGAGCTGATCTGAAACTTGTGGACAATGGTGGTAACAACATCCTTCACTGGGCCTGTTATGGAGAGCATTCGACAATGGTGAAACATGTCGTCTCAAAGATTATGGTGGACATCAACAGTAGATGGCGGGACGGGAGAACCCCATTGATGTGTGCAGCTTGTCGAGGGAATAAGGACATATTTCAGTTACTTGTAAGTAAAGGGGGTCTTCCTATTGAAGTAGACAGAGATGGAAACAACATCCTGCGACTCGCCTGTTGGGATGGGAATGTGAAGATTGTGGACTACATCCCCTCACATGGTGCTGTAGACATCAATGGTAGAGGAAAGTTCGGGAGGACTCCATTGGAGGCGGCAGTATGCAAAGGACATGAAAATATCTTCGACCTACTTGTGACTGAAGGGGCTGATCTCTCTGCAGTTGATAATGCTGGTTACAACATCCTCCATTCGGCCTGTCTGGGGGGGACATGTGAATATTGTGAGCCGTGTCCTCGAGCTGGACAAGCTGGACATAAACAGTCGCGATCAGTGCAGTAGGACACCTCTGATGATGGCAGCAAGGATGGAGGATAAAAAAATATTTGACTTGCTCGTGAAAGAAGGAGCTGTTGCAACACCAGTGGATGATGACAGTAACACCATCCTTCATCATGCTTCTGAGGGAGGAAATGTTGATATAGTGAAGTATGTCCTCTCTCTGAAGAATGTGGACATCAACGCCAGGAACAAGCATGCTGAAACACCGACCATGCTGGCGACAAAGGGTGGTGACGTGTGCCACCTCCTAGTACAACGTGATAGTTTCATGCAGTAACTGAAAGAAAAAGGACTGGTTAATTCTCGAGATGAGAATGCCCGTATGATGGTATAGTTCCACTGTATATCTGAAATATTGTGAACCTTGTATTCCTCCTCATCGTGAATAGGATGGACGTCAAATGAAGATAAGCCAAAACTTCCTATGAAATGCAAGAAGAATAGTACACCATCCACGCCATAGATGTGGGACATATCCGTTTTTGAATTAAACATAATGAATATCAATGAATAGACTTGACCGGTTAATTTACCCCAAGCCTGTATGTTCCCGTATGGACTTCAGATCAATAATGGACACCTTTGTTCGTGGTATCAGCAGCTTTTTTTCTGAATGAACTGAAATACTTGGAGTGTCACAGAACTGAACTATTTTTATTTGTATTTCTTTGTTTATTGCATGGAACGTCGTTTCGATTGCTTATACTGTTATCAAGCTGAAGTATACTTCTAGAATGACGATCATAAAATTGAAATATTGGTTTTTTAAACATAGCAGAAAGGCATAATATGGATACAGTATTTGGAAACATCCTTTATGGGGGGGGGCATTCGTGGATGTAAATTTGCATTCCCTATAGCTAGAAATAGGAAGTGTTTCGAAACAAGGAGGTCAGACAGGTAGGGATTTTCACGAAATCAACATAAATAAGGGCTGGCATGGTGTTACAAAAGAATAGATGATGCTGCCCTCCTTCAGGTGACAGCATTGCTGGACAATATGACCTGTAATCACTGAAAGGTCAGTCAGTCAGCTTGCATGTCAAAATATGCATCTCCTCGTATCCCATCCACCAAGACAGCCGGTGGTGGTCACGTGAACACTTACAATGTCTAAACACATAGAGGGGGTCATCGGTTCCCAATTGCGCAGATCGATGCTCATGCTGTTGATCACTGGATTGTCTGGTCCAGACTCGATTATTTACAGACCGCCGCCAATAGCTGGAATATTGCTGAGTGCGGCGTAAAACTCAACTCACTCACTCACTAAACACATAGAGGCAGGACAGAGGACCTACTGCAAGATTTTCACTGCTGCTCATATATCTTGCTTTAATAGTAAATGTGTGATGGACAACACGGACCCTCAGTCACACGCTTGTCTGTTGCTAGATGTTCCGATGCTGATGATGTAGATAGTAGAGGAAGTATTACCATTAATCACATTTACATGTGTCTATCACACTACTTTGCAATGTCTAGATAGCTGCAGACAGTCCTATTGTTTTACACCGATACTGAATGTGAACAACACGGTCATTTTTCCAGCCAGTTAATACATTGGAGGACATTTCCCTTTCTTACACGTATAGCATGAATCCCGAGCGAATAGTTTTTGATAGTTGTCTCCCTTATACCATAACAATCCTTCGGTCAATATAAAACAGTTAAAGCTGGAGCTATTAACATTCCATGAACACCAAGAAAGTATATAATGTTGACCTTGCAATGAATACTGAATCCATGTACAGGTGAATCCATGCTACTTGGTAGCCCCTTTATATTGTGGTCGTAATTGATAGTGATAATTGATTGTGATGATTGTGATAATCATTTTATCATATAGTCCTTCGACGACAGGACGTCATAAATGTCAGTATGCTTGATATTAGTATGTGGCTTTGTCTCGTCACGATATTTCTGAAATATTGCCGATGTGACGGTGCATTTAACTCACTCACTCCATACTCCACCCCCACCCCTAAATAAGGCCATGTCCACTAAATGACCACTGTTTTCATATTGACTGGTAATGTTGTGTATTATTTCACTGAATCATATCACCGATCTCTAGCCCCTGTAATTCCAGTATTCTGATTTGCTGAATTGGTCATATGTTTTCAATTAGCAATGAGCATAAAAATTAAACCACGCCCACCTCCTAATTTCAACTCAAGGGACAGCCGTGGAATTCCAACATTACAGTCTTACATACATGTACAACCTTTTCTACTTCACATGCATGTAAGCAAGTCATATACAGTTCCATTTCTTTCAGTTCATACCTTCATGAACCGGAAACATTACACAGTCAATCCTTAAATACATTTCATCCAGGAACCAATCAGGGCTAAAACAGATAGTTCCCGTCCACTCCCTGCTACTGCGTTTATTTTGTAACCTGGTTTCATCAGGTTGCTATATTTGTACTTATGCGCTTAATGTATGTTTGTGTCAGAACAAATATACACCTGGACTTGACATTGCAATGTTTTACAGGTTTACAAATTCCATTCAGTTGTTTGCTGGTATGTGTTTTCTAAAACAAAATTCACTGCTTTGAGTGGCAATATTCAGTCTAAAATTGACTGAGTTCCTGGTCCAACTTTTTTTTGTACTGTCTTCACAAGCCTCTGCAACATCACTTGTCCATCCCATAGGGCCCTTTCACGTTTTTAATTACCATTGACTATTTAAAGAACACGCGAGGCTATAAAACGTTTATTATTATTTTCTAATTGAGTCCACGTTTCAGCTTGCATGTTGTTGTAATGTCTGACCTACGACTGTGCTGCTCCATCTCACTACAGATATATTGTGTCGAGTCTGCTTGCTATTTCAGTTAATGATGCATGTGGGTTTAAGACACACACATTATCTATATTCATTGTTCAAATTGATTGCATGTTTTATCAAATATTTTAGTATGAACTTGCAAGATGTTGTTCTATGGCTGTAGCTTGAATAAAACATTTTACAGATATTGTATCTTGAATCTTCATTTCAGTTTATCGCCCACAGGGACCAGAGAAGGTCCGGGTTACAATATTGACCTTCAGTAACCCATGCTTGACGTAAGAGGCGACTTACGGGATCGGGTGGTCAGGCTCGCTGACTTGGTTGACACATGTCATCGGTTTTGATGCTCATGCTGTTGATCACTGGATTGTCTGGTCCAGACTCGATTATTTACAGACCGTCGCCATATAGCTGGAATATTGCTGAGTGCGGCGTAAAACTAAACTCACTCACTCACCCACAGGGACCTGTGCAGCCATGTATCATGGACGATAGATTAAATCATCACAGATACTTTGAAAACAAAATATGTAATGGTTCAACTATGAGACCACGACACTGTTAAACGTTTACATTACAATTTAGAAATCAAGGGCGGTGCGTTAATCTGTAAAATAATAGCTCACCTACATGCCTAAAATATCACGTTTTCTTTTAGTAAGAACCGCGATCTGTGGGGCGATTTACATATCGTTTTGTATAAATTATTATGTGGATATTTGGGTCATGATAAACTTTACACATCCACGGCATGTGTGGCAGGCTCTCCGTAAGGCCTGGATGATTGGAGAGGATTTAAAGACGGGTAAAGAAGCAGCTAGAAATAATTGTTTACTTTCAGTCTGATAGACACTTGATATAATCCAATAAAGAAATGTATTTTCTAATTCTTCCTTAAAAAAACACATTTCTTTTCAACATACCTAAAATATAACATGCGACAAGCCAGGTTATTTTCTTCTTTCTTGTGGATCTTTTTGGTTTTCTTTGGTGTTACATCATGCATGAACTAAAGGTCTGACGTCACACTCGGAAATAATTTCATGCATGATTTAAATCAAAACAAATATTTGTGAATAACTTTAAGATGGAGTGTCCAAGAGTGTATTCTGCTGAGACCGGGAGTAACATGTGGCATATGATCTCACCTTCTCCTCAGAACAATCAAACCTCACCTTAAGGGTACTATCAACACCAGTTAATGTGCCAAAACCACACGGTTCTTTAGAGTACATCCACAGTGCAAACAACGAAACATACCAAATTTTTTGTATGCATGTACATATGGAAAAACACATAGCAACACCTATGATTTATAACAGATGCGTTTGCCGTAAAGACATAGCTGTGATGTAACACTTGTAGATGTCTAGGAGCTGGAGGGTAATACACTTGACCATCAGCTGACGGTAGGATGTAACACTTGTAGATATCCAGGAGCTGGAGGGTCATACTGTGGGCCATCAGCTGACGGTAGGATGTGACACTTGTAGATGTCCAGGAGCTGGAGGGTCATACTCGGTGCCATCAGCTAACGGTAGGGAATAACACTTGTAGATGTCAAGGAGTTGGAGGGTCATACTCTGCACCATCAACTGACGGTAGGATGTGACACGTGTAGATGTCCAGGAGCTGGAGGGTCATACTCTGGGCCATCATCTGACGGTAGGATGTGGCACATGTAGATGTCTAGGAGCTGGAGGGTCATACTCTGTGCCATCAGCTGACTGTAGGATGTGACACTTGTAGATGTCCAGGAGCTGGAGGGTCATACTCTGTGCCACCAGCTGACGGTAGGATGTAACACTTGTAGATGTCGAGGAGCTGGAGGGTCTTACTTTGGACCATCAGCTGACGGTAGGATGTGACACTTGTAGATGTCTAGAAGCTGGAGGATCATACTCTGTGCCACCAGCTGACGGTAGGATGTGACACTTGTAGATGTCAAGGAGTTGGAGGGTCATACTCTGCACCATCAACTGACGGTAGGATGTGACACGTGTAGATGTCCAGGAGCTGGAGGGTCATACTCTGGGCCATCATCTGACGGTAGGATGTGGCACATGTAGATGTCTAGGAGCTGGAGGGTCATACTCTGTGCCATCAGCTGACTGTAGGATGTGACACTTGTAGATGTCTAGGAGCTGGAGGGTCATACTCTAGGATGTCCAGGATCTGGAGGGTCATACTCTGGGCCATCAGCGGACGGTTGGATGTAACACTTGTAGATGTCCAGGAGCTGGAGGGTCATACTCTGTGCCACCAGCTGACGGTAGGATGTAACACTTGTAGATGTCGAGGAGCTGGAGGGTCTTACTTTGGACCATCAGCTGACGGTAGGATGTGACACTTGTAGATGTCTAGAAGCTGGAGGATCATACTCTGTGCCACCAGCTGACGGTAGGATGTGACACTTGTAGATGTCTAGGAACTGGAGGGTCATACTCTGGGCCATCAACTGACGGTAAGATGTAACACTTGTAGATGTCGAGGAGCTGGAGGGTCTTACTTTGGACCATCAGCTGACGATAGGATGTGACACTTGTAGATGTCTAGAAGCTGGAGGATCATACTCTGTGCCACCAGCTGACGGTAGGATGTAACACTTGTAGATGTCTAGGAGCTGGAGGGTCATACTCTAGGATGTCCAGGATCTGGAGGGTCATACTCTGGGCCATCAGCGGACGGTTGGATGTAACACTTGTAGATGTCCAGGAGCTGGAGGGTCATACTCTGGACCATCATCTGACGGTAGGATGTAACACTTGTAGATGTCCAGGAGCTTGAGGGTCATACTCTTGGCCATCATCTGACGTTAGGATGTGACACTTGTAGATGTCTAGGAGCTGGAAGGTCATACTCTGGACCATCAGCTGACGGAAGGATGTAACACTTGGAGATGTCCAGCAGCTGGACTGTCATACATTGGACCATCAGCAGACGGTAGGATGTAATGAGAGTATACAGTATTATCTATAAACTGGATATTTTCCCATTTCACCCTGAACAAGTAATCAAATAACCTGCCCAGGTACTACTTATAAACAGGGTTTAGGGGCTAAATGCACTGTATCATCGGCCCACAATCGTACCGCTAGATTTCCTAACACATCCACCACTTGATTGTCTGACTTGTGTTGATTGTCTGACTTGTGTTGATTGTCTTGCTTGTGTTGATTGTCTGGCTTGTGTTGATTGTTTGGCTTGTGTTGATTGTCTGGCTTGTGTTGATTGTCTGGCTTGTGTTGATTGTCTGACTTGTGTTGATTGTCTGACTTGTGTTGATTGTCTGGCTTGTGTTGATTGTCTTATCATGACGC